ATCCATTTTGCAATTTATAAATGTAAAATATCCAAAAATCTATATATATCCTGGTTAGATTCCGAATTTCGGTTTTTCGTTAGGGTTGATCAAGAACAGTAAAACGTACAACACCGTCGAYACCGTAGAATCACGATTATAATTTAATTTATAGCTATTATTATCTTTAATCGTGATAGAATGTACGCCATACTATAAAAAAATCATAGATTCTTCTATTATCTATTAAAAAATATATAAAAAAATAGATAATAATATTATGTGGGTATTATTATCTTAAAGCCTCGCACATGTTGAGTGATAACAAGTTGCTAACTTCAGGAGCGTTTAAATACAGGTCAGGAATGCACCGCTCATGGCACGCATGCGTATTGCGTTCGCACTAATTAGTAACTGATAAGAGTCTGTGATGTTATACTAATTGGTTAAACCTATTATTAATTTACATATTATATTATTTACATTTTTCTTCCAATTCGTGCATCATTTTCCAGTTATAAAATTCTATAAATAATAATTTATAATTCAATATAATAATCAATCCAATGATATTATATCATCGTATACGAAAAACGATTCTGAGTGGAGACGGTTAATCTGTCTAGGATAAATTATAGATTATTAAACATTTTCAAATCTTAGATTTCAAAAGAAAAGTTTTTATGAATTTCTAGCTTAAAATAATTTGCGAATTTTCGTGATTTTACGGTATGTTGTCAAAATTCAAACTTTGAATGCTTGTAAAAAACTATTGTAACAATATATCAGGAAATGAATAAAATTGTATTAACATTAACAGAAAAAAAAAACCAAAACAATTTAAAACTGAAAATGACAGTAAACAGCTCAAAACAATTGGTGTACATAGTTCGTCCCCTTAAGTGTTAAGACYAAGGTTACATGATGTTAAAAAAAAAATTTAAAAATGTTTTAGGCAATTTTTTATTCAAAATAGTAACCATTACATATTACATTCTATACATCTTCTTGCACAAACGCCCAATTTTTCCACGGCCAGTGAAAAGTCAGCTTCAGAAATGTTCTTGAACTTTTTGATCATCAATAGTATTAAATTAGAATGGTTGTATCACAACTTATGGGTCGCACTGTGTATATTTAAAGTGTCTAGAGTTATTCTTTTTTAAATTWCTACAAAATAGGAAAACCGTTAATTAATGTAAATATCCAATGTTGTGAAATTTAAACTTCAAATGCTCTTAAAATGTAATTTA